GATATAACAAACAAAAAATGTACAAAATAGTTACCTTAACACTATGTCAAACTATATATTCTTCAAATATTTAATAGAAATCATCAAATGTAATAGAAATATACGAAAAATGAATTCATCTCATCCTCAGCAGCAGTATCAAAAATGGCGACCATCACTATTAATTTTCGATAGAATCCTATCATCTGATTGGTCAATTTTCGATAACATTTCTATCAAGATTCCTATCATCTTATTGGTCAATTTTCGATAACATTTCTATACATTTCTATACATCCTCGTTACTCTATTGGTTGAAATCTATCGAAATCTATCGAAATATTGTGAGTCCAGTGAGTAATTTTTAGCGCTAGCCGGGCGCTTGACTAAACAATGTTTAAATTCCAATTAAGTCTTCTTACAAGCACAGATTACATACTTAGCCGACAACTTGACGACCAGTCAACCGCTATCATCCGTAAGTCGTTGTTACTTAAGACGAAACAGATCATAATGTAGGAGACATATCGGATCAGGTTAAAAACAAAACATGTTTTTTTTTAAATTTCTGACTTATCACGCCTTCAACCCCACTCAGATATCAGCAGATATTTTAGCTTTAGGTGATACACCTAAAGATGGTAAAACGGATGTTTGGTATCGTTTCCAATTCGTTTTTCAAATAACATCTTTTATAATCCTATACATTTTAAAATATGACGGGAATATTGCAAATAAACAAACATCAAATGTAATAACAACACAGATCGTTTTTAAAACGGTCAAATTGAGATATTTATCAATCCGTTTATATAAAGGGAACAAAGTACATCGTTGAGGGTAATTGGTGTTTTTGTTAACAAATGGCTACCTTAACTCATTCTCAGAACGGCGGGTTTATCTGTTTTGTGCGTAAATTTCCTTTTATTTCCATACCCGGAGTAAATATGATTGAAATATTTTAAACGATGTTTAAACTAGGAAATATTACAAAACTAACGCGTAAAGATAATTATCAAAAAATATACGCCCAACGGGGGACTCGAACCCACGACCCTCAGATATCAGAGGTTCTTCAGCCTTAAAAGTCTGATGCTCTACCGACTGAGCTAGCCGGGCGCTTCATATCGGCTCCTTTCAGATATCTGAATCTTTTAGTCGTAACTGTATGATGCAAGAACACAGGTCTTTTTTAAAACTGTAAAGTCGTAGTATTTATCCATATGACGACAACCAATTACTTAAATGATTTACGTCGTGTGAAGGCAAGTGTTTTAAGTTAACAAATGTCTATCAAAACTCAGACTCCTAACGATCAGTACATTGGATATCAGTGTTAATGTGAAATTGACAATTTACTTTATTTATATTCTGGGCTAAATAACGTTGAAAATGTTCAAATGAGAACAGGATCTCTCTTTATGGTAAATGGAAAATACAATAAAAACGATGAGTTAGGACTTGGAGATGAGCTATTCACCATGAACATATTCGCTTATTTCGACGGGAATTCTAGCCCATGACCCCCAGATATCAGTGCATGAAAGTCAGCTTACTTGGTGCTTAATATACTTTTAATTCGCTTAATATCTTTTTTTTTCAAATCGAGTATACATTTTTTGTTATCTAATTGTTATTTTAACTGTTAATTTAACAAAAATGTATATGCTATATTTGTTTCTCATTTTCCAACCAATTATCGTTCTGCTTTACTGAATCATATTTATTAGCCATTTAGCCATCTGCTTACTTTTCTAATTTAATACAATAACGCGTTTTCCTAGAGTATATATATTTTTTCTTGTCATTAAAAGAATATGAGCAAGACTTTGTTTCACACCTGACATAGTAAGATGATCATACAAAATGGTTAGCTGTAACTAAAATTATATTGAAAAGAACAAATATATACATGAATATCATGCCTAAATGCCTTTAAGTTATATTTGAACACATTAAATACTTTACACACTAAAAAGCTCATTGTATAGAATCATACGATTTTGGTTGGGTTTAACGCCGGACAAACACAGAATAGCTCATGTAAGTAGAACGACCGACGTTCCGTAATCAAACTTGATAGCTTTCTCACATAAAACACCCGAAAACCTTGGCGCTGTGAGAGGCAAGTAGTTTGAACTCAACGATCTTAACTTTTAAAGGATATCGCTTTCATAATTTGTATCAGGATCAAGCACAAAAAGTTGTTATTAAACGTCGAAACGTGTAATAACAAAATATGAATAATTTAGACATAAGTCCTAATCAGTATCTAGTGAGCTAATATTTGGAACATTTTGTACCCGACGCTATTTTCAAATCTAGATGAGAAAGCGTATAAATCCAATCGTATTGAATGCACCTACTGATAAAATAATGTCAATAACTCAACTGAGTGATTGATTGCTTACAGATTTACATAACAACTGATATTTGTTGAACATTTTCGAGATATACTCATATATATTTATTTAATGACAATTGAGCAAGAGGAGCAGCAAAACATTATTTAAATATACAATAATAATTATTTAAATATACAATTACGATATTAATTAAAGACACATATGAAATGGAAATACAAGAAAAAACATCAGATGAAATGAAAATATTATGTAAATTTTTCATATATCGGATGATGTAGTGTCACTCTCAACAGCAATAACTTTATGTTCAGCAGATAAATGTGTGCCGTTCAGTTTTGCAATTGTTAATCTGTATGCCGTAATATTTGTTTCATATCCTCTATAATTTGAATTAAATGAGTTTATATACTTTCCATTCTGACGGTTCCGCAACTTAAAACTACTTTCTTCTTTCGCAGCATGATTAGCAATAATATCACTTGTCTCCTCATTGTTCCTACGCCGAAAGAAAAAAGTTCTTCCACGAAGCGCAGCTAAATGAGATTTTCTAATAATACTTCTACGGTGATTATTTCTTCTAGGCTTTCTGCAGAGGAGAAATGAATAGCATTGTGAAATGTGAGCGGTTCTTAGTGTAAACAAACCATACAAAATTGGATTTAAGGCAGAGTGAAGCATGAATATTATTTGGGAAATAGTTAATGCATTCCTCAGGTCTAATGTATAGTGACTGTATATTCTAATTAAAGAGATAATAAAATACGGCGTCAAGCATACGATATATACAATAATCACTGACAATGTCATAAAAACAACTTTTCTTCTTGATGCTGTTATATTATTTCTTTTCATTGACATTCGTGGCGACTCTACACGATTACTTGTAAAAGTAGAAAGGGCTGTGTCATGACTTTGTTCTCCTCTATTCCAAATTACCATAGCAATAGCTCTGTAACAAAAAGTCATAATTCCAGCGGGAAGTAATAGAATATAAAACGTCAAAAACGTGAAATAGAACTTTCTTTGCCATTCAGAACTGTATCCTGCACTTTTACAATGGTAGCTGTAGGTTTGTTTTGACTCACTGTAAACCTTTACCTGAACAAAAATAAAAACCTGAGGAATGGCGAACACGAAGGCCATAAACCATGCCATGACAACTTTTGCCTTAATTTTAGGTCTTTGTGCCAGAGATTTTAATGGTCGAACAATCACCTGATACCGATCTATACTCATTCCAGTGAGTAAGAATGTAGTACTTGAAAGTGTTACAACTTGGAAATAGAGAAGAAATTTACATAAGAACGCTCCTAGTATCCATTGTTTAAAGATTGCTTCAAGAAGTTCCGTTGTCATGGTGATAAATGCAACTGTAAGATCAGCAATGGCCAGATTTACTATAAATACGTTCACACGTTTTCTACGTCTCGTTCGTCTGTTAGTTAATGATATTATCAACACCAGATTTCCTACGATGGTTGTAAGCATCACAAACAGCATTGGTGTTATTTTTAGCAATGACTCTCCGCTCCAAAATGTCACCACGTGATCATCGTCAGTATCGTTGTATTGTATACGTGTTCTACAATTTGAACTATCATTAGATAGTTTTGTGTCTTTTCCTTCCATATTAGAACATATGGGTGGGTATTCTTTTTCAGATAGTAGTGATGTTAATGTAACCTGAAATAAACAAAAAGATATGCCAATCAAGAAATTAAATCTGACGCTAATAGTTCTTTATGAAGGCTTCAGATTATTAAATATTGCTACCCAAAACAAGCAATATAATATTATATAATAATGAGATTGAGAAACCTTCTAAAAGTTTATATTATCAATTATTATACATTATAAACAATTTTACTTGGTTGTATGGTATAAAGTGTATTAACAAAAATAATGTCAAACGGTTTACTTATGTTTGTCTGAACAATGATAATAGTGTCATGCAAGCCGATTCATGCATAAAGTTTACAAGTTCACAAGTTTATCTAATCTAATACTCAGTTCATGAACAAACATGACCATATGAGCTATAACATATTTACATAATAAACTATAGAGGAATGTATAACACGCATAGACATATCTCGCATTTTCAGGCGAGGGAGTTACATTTTGTATTCCATATGTTATACATTAAATAACAATAATGTAGCCAATATATGATTAGGTATAGACTCAGAATTTTAAACATGATCTAAAGGATTCGTTACTTAAATAATTGTTGTTAAAGCGTTAAATGTGCGACTGATGTTTATATCAAGGCAAACATTGGGGTATGATTTCTCAGACATTATCTATTTTCAAATTTTATGATAATTTCCTTAACAAATATACAAACTTGCTTTTACTTATCATAATGCTTTGTATATGTATTCATTACAGAATTTGAATACAATAATATTAGGTTGTCCTATATATTGGTGATCTAAATGCCATTTTGCAGAAAATTCTTAACACTCGATTAGATAATAAATTCATCACCAATGCTATCAGAACAGTTAAAAATGTGCACTTTCGCTGGTTAATCTCTGTTCTATTCCAGCTTCCAGTTTCTACTGGGAGTCTTTTATTAAGGGTTCGAAATTTAATAACATATCTAAGCAGCTTATGAGGCATATTAACTAATTATGGTGCTAATTTTAACGTTTCCTTGAATTATCGATAGTTGTTACATTTACTAGAATTACTAATGATAGAATACCACTCATTCAAATATAAGCAACTAACCATTTGTGATTTTGAAATTCATGGGTATCCCATATATTCAATAAACCTCTGTTTATATGTATTTTTCGTTTATGTAATATCCATTTAAATGCTTGTCTATTGGCATTAACACTGTTACTTAAATTGTAAAGCATAATACAATACCAAAAACATGTCAGTTTTAAGCCATTTGGTACAACAAGTTTTGACCAGAAGCTTATCATTCTTGTTTTAATTTATATGTGTAATGGCTTGACATCTGTTTAACCATATACAATACAGTTGGGTGTGCTTGATTTAAGGCCTGATATATGTTTTAGATAATTCAATTGAACTTTTTCTAGTATGGCATTGTTACCATAAACCCAACACTCCCAACCATATAATAAAATTGGCTTTACTAATTTATCGAATAAATCTATTTGACAATGTATATCTATTGGTAACTGCACATTATTCGACTTATTAATAAGGCAATACATTGCTTTAGTTGCTTGATAAGCTATATCAGTTTTTGCCTTAACAAAACAACCATTTCTGCTAAATGTTACAACTAAATATTTAAATTCATCAACTATTTCTAAACTTTCATTTTTGTAAGAAAAAATATAGTATCAAGGTCTTCCTTTCGAAAACACAATAACTTTTGTTTTGGATGTGTTAACATTTAATTTCTGACTATCACAATACGTTTGATATAAATTTATGGCATTTTGTAAATAAGCAGGTGATTCGGATACTATGACAATCGTCAGCATAGAGAATCACAAATAATTTGAGTAAACCAATCATTTTATTATTCAAAGTTAATTCATTCACATGATTGTTATGTTTGTTATGTTGTTTTCTCCCTGTCTTACAACAATTGTACATGAAAAATAATTCTAACCATTTACACATACACATGTTTAAGCATTATTATAAATACTTTTAAGAACATTGAGAAACTTTCCACTTATATCATAACTACAGAGATATGTTCAAAAATGTGTTCTACATATAGTATCAAATGCACTTTTTTAATTTATAAATACCCAAAAATTCTTTTCAAAGGTTAATTCATTAAATTTTAGTTTAGTTGCATGCTTTACCAACATTAGTAACTTCCTAAATCACCCTTAATAACTGATTTAGCATTCTTTTACTTTCAGAAAACTTTCCATATATATTAAATTAGTAAATAATGTGCTCAAAGTACAATGCACATTTATATTTTTAATCGATAATATGCTTGCTGAGTAGCATCGCCCTTATTTTTGAATATTGGATTAATAACACCAACTGTCCAACATTTAGGGATAATACCATATTTAAAAATTACATTGAATAGCTTGTGATATACATCTTTCATAATGGGTAAAGTCATCGTTACCACTAGCTTTATTATTTTTGAGCGCATTCACAGCATATTCGATTTCTTGCATGGAGATGTCTTTAAAGGTAAAGGTAAAGGTCTTGTTTATTATAGTGTCATCCCTACTGAAAGGGCCAGCCATTTTGACTTATGAGACACCTTTTGCTTGCATACCATGTACCTCCCTATTCCCATCACTATGCCAGGCGCCAGGCGGATAGAAATCTTTATTTAGGGTTTCGTTATTGACATTGGGTTCAGATTGCAATTCCTTACTGGAAGATTAATAAGCGTCATCAATGCTGCTTACAGTTTTTAAAAATTCATACAAATCTTTTAAATGTGTCGAAACAACATTTCTTTTACTACCGTTCAGAATTTTCCAGTACTCTCTAGGACTAGACTTTTTGAGCTTTTTTTTATGTTTTCTACATTTGACCTTTTGAATGTATTATAATTTCACCTTTGATACATTTTACGGAGAGATTTTAAGTTTTGCTTATTTATACAACATAAATATGTTATTAATTCCACAAATTGAATGTTTTTTTTTGTTTTGTTGCAGTTTTAAAACGGAACAACATTGTCAATTTTTCAGGTGTCCCTTCGTGCATTTTTATCAGGCACACAAGTGAGCTATCTGGATGCAAAAATCGCCTTTTTGGGGCTACGTTTATTCATTCATTCATTCATTCATTCAACCGTCCATCCGTTCATTCATTCATTCATTCATCCATTCATCGATTCATTCATTCATTCTTACATTCATTCATTCATATAGACTTGATATGCATTGCCGTATCAATGCAATCGTAATATGATTAATGAACAAAATAAATTAATGAATTATTGAAAGCGATAACTCATTCCATAGTATGTTGTTTTAACGAACAAATTTGTTTTCCTGCATATCTTCATTATCCAAAATGTCAATTTTACACATTTAATGCTTAATGTTTGTGCTAGTGATATATGGTCGCATGTTAAGTCTGCTTGCCTATTGTATCTGCATGCAACTTTTATTTTCAATACATTAAACGCTTTTAATACTTGCCCGATATTTTAATCCGATAATGCTTCTTCTTCGAAGACGGTATGAATAAGTTTGAAATATCCTAAAAGCATGTCACATTAATCTTTTTTTTCTTGTATTCATCTTTATTTATAAAGTCTTAAAAAACAAAAGCCATTAACTGTCGAAACATTACTTACAGATATATTCTTATCCGAAGTTAATGAAGTTTATATTCACGCAACTAAATATTTACAAATAAATTTCGACTTCATGTAGATAAATTGTTATTTTTTATCGGAAACCAAATGAACAACGGTTCGGACTCATTTGAATTTCGTAAAAATTCAAAAGGTAAGTCACTTTGTTGATAGTTTAAACCTGCAACTTGACTATTTAAGCCACTAGATGGCGCTGGGGCAGATTTTCATGGTATTTTTGACATGCTTCACATCTAACAGCCCTTTTTTGAAATAGTAAAATAACCAAGAAATAGTTTGCCTAAAAACTTTTTGTATAACTTCTTTGCAACATTTGAAATAAAATGGCAGAGAAAATATCACAAAAGATTCACTTAAATGTATACTTTGTGAAAAAAAATCAGTTAACTGTCAAAAATTTGAAAATCCCGGGGCGGAGTAAATGAGGTCATGAACTGCAGGTTGTAAACAAATACACGTGGCAGTGTTAACTTTCCAGTAGAAACTTGAAATTTTACTCTAGGAAGGGAGCTGCTGATCAGTAATCGTCTGCTATAGTGTTTGTTTACATCAGCTAAATTTAGCACAGGTACAGCGTCCTTTGCATGATTTATCTGATAAACACGCCTACAAAATACTCCCTACCAGGGCAGGGATTTTTGCGGCTTTAAGAACAAATATTATGGATTCCGATATAGTATAATGATACATTTGTTTGTAAATTCCCATTGAAAGCACACCGTCACCCCAAATTTTACAGTTTCCTTTTGTTGGTTGAAGACCAAAACAATTTGCAATATATAGGTTCACATAATACACAATACATATAGGTTCACATAATACACAATACTGCAGTGTTTCAACATGCATGTATAGTCCTTTGAAAATGTTAAGAAAAAAATTTAAGACAAAATTTAACATTCGATCTGTACCTTTTAGTGAATATGGAATAACCGAAAACTATTGAACTGTTTATAATGGCCTTGCTTTTTTCAGTCTCTTTTATAAAGATACTTCAAAATACAATACAAAAACTCAATATATCAAATTTAATGCATTATCGCAAAAATAACATTAGAACAATTTATCAATAAGAAACCTAGATGATTTTATAATTAGAAAAACAACGGAAAACAATTTATATACGGCTTAAATATTTTATGAATGATTATTGAAGAAACAGTTTGATTTAGGAAAGAAGTATTTCTGTCGTGGCACACTTTTGTATCATTGCTAATATAAACAGTGTTGACAGGTACATTGTAATTTAAAAGAATAAATGCATAGTATACCTATTATTTCAAAGTATAACAAGTCAAATAAATAGTTAAAGAGCTTCAGTTTTTCTTTATTTCATGCTGCAATAGAACATTAACAAGAAAGGTCG